CCCCTCTTCTTCATGTCTCTTCTACATCAACATGTGTCCCCTCTTCTCCATGTCTCTTCTACATCAACATGTGTCCCCTCTTCTTCATGTCTCTTCTACATCAACATGTGTCCCCTCTTCTTCATGTCTCTTCTACATCAACATGTGTCCCCTCTTCTTCATGTCTCTTCTACATCAACATGTGTCCCCTCTGTGGAAAGAGACTGAAAGTTTCAGGAACAAAGATTCTCTCTCTTTTTGATCCATTTCTATAAAAACCTGTCTGAAAATGAGCTGATCAGATTTTGGCCACTTTATGATGTCATAACGATGTTTTGTCTTGTGTAACCATTAGCCAATCAGCAACCAAGGTAACCCCCCCCCTTATCACCTGAATCTCCTCCTAGAGCTCCATTGAGTAATTTGTAACCAAATGTCTCTCAGAGGGGCGTGGGGAGGGGCTCCTTATTTTCATCTAAAGTAACAGACAGAGAATCAGCACTTTGGAAACAGGGCTGAAACAGAGGGGATTATGGGTAATGCTGCAATGATCTGTTTGGTGTTTCAGCCAATCAGAGACAGGCTCTGTATATATCTGAGACCTGTGATATATTGATGAAACACAGCATAATAGGGGACCTTTAATAAACTTGCCTTGCAGATGGCTCGGGCCCGGCCTCGCTGGTCATCTCTCCGGCCTCGGCTCAGGTGTTTGAGTACAGGAATCTGTCCCTGAGCTGCGGGGATAACAGCAGCGTGGAGGGGTGGAGGATCTTCAGGTCGACCATCACCACCTTCAGCACCAGCGCCACCGGCGTGCCCACCGTGAACCCCGGAGGAAAGACGTCCGGCTGCGGAGACAACTGGGGGAATATCACTTCCTGTGGCTGCAACATCTACACTTCCAAACAGGCCGACACCGCCGTCTACTGGTGTGAGTCTCGGGTGAAGCAGCGCAGCAACAGCCTCAACATCAGCGTCCAGGGTAAAGACAATATACAAAAGAACGATATCATTAGCATGCTAACATTAGCTTGTAAGTTAGCGACACAACAGTTGCACTTATCAAAGTCAAGTCAAAGTCAACTTTATTGTCAATCTTTCAGTTTGTGTGTACAGAGATCGAAATACCCTTTCCCACAATCCCAAATACAATAACAAAGATATATAAAAATATGTATACAAATATGTATATCCTATATATACACAACAGACATATTTGTACATATGCACACATTGAAGACATAAATAAAAGCACAACAATCAATATATACAAAATAACATTCACTTCAATAACTTTGAGAAATGTACATTTAATTATTTGAGGCTTTTTGTATTATTTAAATAAAGTTTTTTTAAAGCCGATATACAAAAGAACCACTTATCAACCCCTGAAAACAAACAATCGGGAGGTCACAATATCATAAATTAAGTATTTGATATTAGTATTCTCTGAACAGGTTTCAGATATTAGCATGCTAATATTAGCTTCTACGTTAGTACAACTTGTCGTCATTTCATTATTTGAGGTTTTTTGTGTTATTTAAATAACGTTTAATTTGATGTATCAAGTTACATCCAGCATTTTCCTTATTGCACCTTTTTATCTAAATGCATTTTAGATATTAGCACGCTAACGTTAGCTTGTCAGATAGCTACACAACATTGTACACTTTACCATTATATCATTATTTAATTTTTTGAGTTTTGTTGAGCTTTAGTGACGTTCATTTTGAATGATCAAGATTCAGGTAAGTTAAGTCCATCGTATTCCTTATTGCATGTTTTGGATTTTAGCAGGATAACGTTAGCTCGTCAGTTAGCTTCAGATACATTTACTAGTTAGTGGGTTTAGTTAAAATCTCCACAAGGTGCTAGCTAGTTTTTACATATGTTTCTCCGTGCTCAGAAACAGCAGTGATCCTGGAGAGTCCGATCCTCGCTGTGATGAAGGGAGACAACGTAACTCTGATGTGTAAAACAAAGGATCGCGATGACCTCCGCGCTGATTTCTACAAAGATGGCTCCTTCCTCAAGACCGGGCCTGCAGGTCACATGACCCTCCACCAAGTTTCCAGCTATGATGAAGGCGTCTACAAGTGTTACATCAGTAATGAAGGAGAGTCTGCAACCAGCTTCTTATTTGTCAGAGGTGAGAGGGGTCGGGGAAATAAAAGTAATCAAAAGTACCCGATTCATCGCCAGGGGGGAAACTGGAATTTCAAAGAGTTGGTCCATTTATGAATACAATTTATTCTGTTTAATAAAATATACAAATTCAAATGAATACAATAAATTAAATAAACACAACTAATTATTTAAGCATAACTTTCCAGGTTGTATAGCCTAATTGTAGTCCTTAATAATAACAAATACAGTCATTGTATGTTTTGATTGTAAAGTGATGCACCTGTACCCATTCACAGTGACATCTGGTGGTTCATATAGGAATGTTTTTTTTATTTTTATAACTGCATTAAATGCACTTCTTGTAAATAAAGGCATTATTTAAAATGACATGTAAAGTTAAGGTTGGTTAATTTATTAAGCACATCATTTCAAGTAAGAAATATAAAGTCATGTCCTACGTACAAAAACCTGAAACTTGTGGTAGTCCTAGAGTTATTCATCTACGTTTAAGAGTTTGAACTTTTGTGTGAATCAGATATTTGTGTTTTTTATTAAAAGTTGTTGAATTTTTTGGCCCCAAAAGTATGCTTCAGTGTAGTCAAATATGGAAAATGTGTAATGTTTCTGTAGGTGCCACCGCTCCCCGTACAGACTGGGTCTGGTTAGTGCTGACGGTGTTACGCCACCTGGTGGTTTTCTCCCCGTACTGCGCCTCCACCTTCCTCGTGGTGTCCATTTACAGACGCAACCCCCCAGGTAACACTCACCTAACAATGTGCTGATGTGAAGCAGGTTTAAACTGTTCATATTTTGCTTTGTCAATCCATAAAACTTCACTTTTTATAGCCCAATATTGAAAAACGACACATTTGACTTTTTCCAGCAGATAAGTAAAAACCTTCCTGAAGATAGGGAGTCCTCTCCAATCACTGATAAAAGTAATAATCCTGATTTTAAAATAATTGATCGGATATATAACACATTTATTTTGCGACTCTGCAGGAAGAAGGAAGGACGACGAGGCAACGGACGGACAAAACGACGACGTCACCACCGAGTATAACTTCTGAACCTTTAGAGACCGGGATAGTTTTTTTTGTTGACAAAATATTTTCCAAGTTTTGATTTTGCCACATTATTTACGATGTGAATGAAGCCCTGTGAATATATGGGATGAAAGAAAGCTGTAATATCGCTCAGTCGATTATTTCGAGCTTCTACACTGCAGTCAAAGGCATCAGGGAGGGACTCATTTGAAACAAGAGAGACTTTGGTGAAATTATTTTACATGTCAAAATATTTTTCCAATTTGTTGTTTTTGTTACTAGAATTTCCACCCGAAACGCAAAAATCAAGCGGCTCAACGGTGGTGTGATTTAGTTTCTAAACAAGCACAGCGACTAAAGGCATCAACGGAACAGAGTTGATCATAACGATGCTCATAACAACTAAAACACAGAGACCCTGAACAAGGACAACACCTTTCTTAACTCAGGCTTTTTTCGGGGGTTAATAACAACTCATGTGCACGTCAACATATGTTTTTAAACAGCTGTTTTCACGAGTTCTTTCACGCAAGAATTTAGCACCGAGGAATGAGGATTATAAAAGTACAACACGGAGACTCCAAACCAAGATGGAGTTTTTCCTGCAATTAATTTAACGTTAAAATATAACTGTTGTTTCACCAAGAACCTGAGTATTATCTAGCATAGAAACACTGTGTCATCCGTCGATCCACTCCTTCCTCCGAGCCTTTCACAATAAAAGCCCTAAGCATTGACGGATCCACTTATCGACATGTCCTACAGGGAGAAATAACACGAATCCTGCGATCGATCCTCTGCCAGAAAAACCTTTATTGAAAAGTTAAAAAACGTCTACAATGTGCGCTGTTGTTAGTACGAAGGGATTTGATGCAACATGTTCTTGTTGGCTGTTCGTCACGACCTCGGTGTGTATTTGATTTTTCCTACTCTATGTTGTCTGTAAAGTTTTTCTACATTTCTTTTTTGTAAACTGTATTAAATATTTGTTGATGAAAGTAAAGTCTGAACAGTTCGTTGCTTTAATTATTTTCCCTTATTCCTGACTCCTGAGTTCCTATCAACGGTGGGAGAAGTACTCAGATCTTGTACTTGAGTAAAAGTAGAAGTACTCAGATCTTGTACTTGAGTAAAAGTAGAAGTACTCAGATCTTGTTCTTGAGTAAAAGTAGAAGTACTCAGATCTTGTACTTGAGTAAAAGTAGAAGTACTCAGATCTTCTACTTGAGTAAAAGTAGAAGTACTCAGATCTTGTACTTGAGTAAAAGTAGAAGTACTCAGATCTTGTACTTGAGTAAAAGTAAAAGTACTCAGATCTTGTACTTGAGTAAAAGTAGAAGTACTCTGATATTTTACTTGAGTAAAAGTAGAAGTACTCAGATCTTGTACTTGAGTAAAAGTAGAAGTACTCAGATCTTGTACTTGAGTAAAAGTAGAAGTACTCAGATCTTGTACTTGAGTAAAAGTAGAAGTACTCTGATATTTTACTTGAGTAAAAGTAGAAGTACTCAGATCTTGTACTGGAGTAAAAGTAAAAGTACTCAGATCTTGTACTTGAGTAAAAGTAGAAGTACTCAGATCTTGTACTTGAGTAAAAGTAGAAGTACTCAGATCTTGTACTTGAGTAAAAGTAGAAGTACTCAGATCTTGTACTTGAGTAAAAGTAGAAGTACCAGAGTGTAGGAATACTCTGTTACAGTAAAAG